CCGGTGCATTTTTGCTTCGGTGACGTCAGTGAATGCTCATTATTATTCTGTACTAACGACGCCAAAACAATAATGAACTAATGAAATCGACATGGTGAGCGCCCACTATGTCATAATTGATTTGCGCGCCAAATTTTCAGTAAGATTCAAAATCAGGCAAGTGACACAAGTCGCTCGCTTCCGTCTTTCTCAAGCTCGCTTTTGTCGCTCGCTTTCGTCTTTTCCCTTCTTGCTACGCGCGGTCCCTAGCGAGCGACTTGGGCAAGTCTAATCTATGTACTATTTAAAACACAAGCAGGAGTGCTTTATCAGACACAAAATACGAGGCGACAACCGAGGGACTTATATCTGATAAAGCACGGATGTGTCGGATCCGGATACCGGTATCCGATATCCGGTAAAATTTAGACATCCGTCACTATCTGGTATAAATTTGCTGGATATTTACCGGATAGTACTGTAAGATATTTTGTTACAACCATGAAACGGAAAAGTGTACTTGGCGTTTACAAATTGTGAAACACGAACAATTACTGAGCGTGCGCTATATTACGACGAAATTACGACATATTTTTTTCGTGATGGTGATGTGAACTGCTCGTTCGCCAACAGCAGTGAATTTTATATACTGAATACCTGTAAACAATGTAAGGTGAATCATAAGATATGGCCTTGGTAAAGACAAATAGGTCAAAGAGACAAAAAAAATGTGTATTAAACACATTGCCACATTGGACTAGTTAATTAAGCTATAAAAATGCTGTGTTTCTAATAAATTATTGTATGGGAGTATCTGGTTATTATCCGGTATTCGGTTATTATCCGGTATCCGGTCATCATTTTCTCCTGACCGGTATCCGGTAGACTACTATCCGGTACTATCTGGTATCCGGCAAAACAGTATCCGGCACATCCCTAGCACCACCTATTAACCGTGCTAGCACGGACTGCGAGAATTTGAAATGGCTTCAAAAACAACCCATCTTATTAGTTTTATTGGCGAAGTGTGACTTTAAAAGTCATCATTGGCCAAGCCGAGAAAATCAAAGCTAAAGTTTATGTAAATGAACATGACTTTTTATCAAATATAAAACTACCAACACGGCAGTGATTTTCTTTGTCTTCTCCTCATGAATGATTTAAATTAGATATAAATTATCTGTCTAGACGATTGATCTACTATAGGTGATGTGCACGCAATTGCATGGGATTCAAAGGACAAAGCGATTTTCGCCATGTTGGATGATATTTGCATTGCAAACAAGCAAAATCCTTTGTCAATGTCATCCAACATGGCGACGGTGACCTAACTTGCACACCACCTATAGGGAAGAGATTATTCCGCTGGCCTCAAAGTGACAAAACGTAACAAAGCAACGGTTTTACTAACACTAACCCTATTTCAAACACCAACGCTAACCCTAATCCTTACCCTAACCTAACCTAACCCTACTCAAAATTTGTTTCTAAACCAATCTTGAAGAAAAAAGTTTTGACGAAATCTCATTCTGAGGTCAGTGAAATAGTATTTACCCACCTATAGGGCCTTTATCAAGTATTCAGGGTTCTCACCTTGGGAGAAGTTTACATTCTTGCTTCTGTTTAGGAAAATGCTGATGTCCATGCGCGGCCAGACGCCGAAAAGAGATTGGCGAATGGCCGACGTTATTCCGATAGCGATGCGAGTGGTGAGAAGCGGTATGTTTGTCTATATATATATTTGTACTTTTATCTGTAAATATTTTCACTGCCTTATAAAAAACAATGTAACAGTTACATGAACAGTCATGACACGAATAAATGTACATAAACTCTGTCTTTAAAATATGCATCTTTAGTCCCTTTTAAAATATGCCATCTTTGTTTCTGAATTAGTATTGATAACTTAGAGACATGACTTACTGATTCTTAATGCGGTTTACAAGTGTGCACATGTAACCTAAATATCGCATCGTGATTTGTTTAGTTTTAATAAGCTTTCGTACATTTAAGCTCCAATCAAGGTTTAACTCCGAAATTTCAAATTAAAAAGTATTAAACGTAATAATTAGTAAGGCTACATCTTGTTTGTATATAGCCTTATTAATTATTCATGAATTTTACTAAGTATCTACACGGGTACCTACCTTTACATCTTCGGGATTTATTATTTCACTTTTGTCTTACAGCAGTCCATCACGTCGACAACGAGCGGCGTCTTTCCGTCTGTCCGCCATTTTCAAACGACGGAGTACTGGGGCTGATTTTGAAAATAAGATCGTGGCTGCAGAAATTCCGATGGAAGAACGAGAACAGGTACCAGAAAGATTGGTTTGGACCAGCGGTACTGTCGTGCATTTGCCTTCAGTGAGAAGGATTCAATTTCTACAAATGCAGTCATCTCATTATACTTCGTATGCGGTGGCGAAGCTAGCCACAGCAACAGGTCGTAATATGCAAATGTTTAATGATTTGCATCATTCAAACATATAGAAATGCAGTAATAAATTTACGTGGTGTTTCCACAAACAAAACTATTATATGTTTTATCGCCATGCAAACGTACAAAGAACTTACTTAGAAATGTATTGCCTTTAATTTAACTTAGTATAATTACATAGGTGATTATTGAAAATTCTCCACGCTGATTGGTTGCCGTTGAGGTGATTATTACGCGATATAATCACCTGAGTGATTTTCAAAATGGCGGCCGAAGCCGTTTTGTCAATTAAATGTCGAAGAAATATGTATTTTTTTATATTTTTTCCAAATAATTACCTATGAAATTATACTAAAACAATTATTCACCTCAGGCTCGGTGATTATCTTGAATAAAAACCTCGACTTCTTCTCGGTTTTTATTCACCGATAATCACCTCGCCTTCGGCGAATAATTGTTAAATAATCTAGATGCAAGTTTATTAGCATAGCATGGCCAGTTGCCATGGCTAGCTTGGCCGCCTCGTGTAGGTTTTCGTCGAGTACTCCAGTTCCACTCGTATATGATTTCTTGGGAGAACAGTTCAGACAAAACTGATAACACAGTTCAGTAAAAACAAAAGCTAGTTCAGTCGCAACTCACGATCTCCTTAAAATTCTCCACTTTCAGACCGAACCAGTGATTGAAATTCCTCCGCCTCCCCCAGAAGAGCCTACGGATGACGAAGAAGCTGCGTCCTCTGACGACGAGACTGCTTCGGAGGCGAGCGTTCACGAACCAGAGCCGAGTCCACCGAAACAAAGCGGCTCACAGCCGGATCTAAAACCTAGTGCCAGTCTTCCTGAAGATAAACTCGTCGGTGACCGACCTAGCCAATCACCGATACAGGAACGAAGGCGAAGTAAGAGCGATACGATGATCGGTTTGGAAGACTCCGAAGGGAGTCACACGTTGTCTCTTAGTCCAGATGATCCCTTTATTCAAGCCGTACAACGTGAAATTTCCGAAGCATTTGATATGTCGAATATTGAATTGAACAGAGTTGCGGAGAATTTGCTCACAGAGCTTGTTTACATTGACGAGGAAGGCGGTGGTATTGGTGACAGGATGCCGTCATCGGCGTCCGTGTACACGCCATCATTATGGCAGGAAACATACCAGAACTTACCCGAGGATTACACAGTCACTGACGTCTGATACTTATGTGTCCCACACATAATGGGAGAAATTTGTTGGATCAGCGTCACGCGAATTGCGCACAGCTAATTAGCATAAATTGCGTGTAATTAGCATAAAATGCGAGAATTGAGAAAATTTGACACACGCTAGGCACGATTGCACAGAAGGCACAAATCGCACAAGTATTTTTCTGAGCAGCTATTTAAATATCTTTTAATCCCTGGATGCAACGGTAAGTTTTTTTTAACTAAGGTTTTGCGCTTAACAGGGATTCTATTTTGAGAGAGCTTTGCGCATTTTCGGAAAAAAAATATTTGAATTGGTCGACCTTTTTAACTTTTACGAGACAGTAAGGAATTTGAGTTTTAAGCAAGGTCCAAAGAGGATATTGGCAAAGAGAAGAAAATATTTTTATGTATAGTTTTAGACTAGTATAATTTTACAATATCACAATATTTTTAATAATAATTATTCTAATACAACAACTATATCAAAGGTAAAGATTTTGTCCTTTCTTACGTCAACATTTATAGTTCCTTCTTATAGTACTTTTTTAGGAATCGAATCCGCTCATTCCTCAGTGTACTACAACGTATTAAAACTTAGTCATAATTAAGTACTGGTGCTATTGAAAAACCATGCATATGGTGTACATCCTGACCTAGAAAAAGTGTTTTGCATCCACCCTTGAAAGCGCAAATAGCAATGAAAATTTTACCTGATCTTCAATATAAACATCGAAAAACACTAGACGATCTCAACGACATGCAAGTAACTGTGATTCCAAAAGGCCCGTTCAAACTATTCCAACAATGTTGGATGAAAATTTTGAATGAAGTCAAACTTAATTCAACATTTTCTTGCATCGGCAACCATTACCAAATATGTGTTCAAATAGATCCAACAATGTTGCGTCTCAAAATCAATAATTCATGACTCACGAGTAAATTAGCCAACCATAATGCTTAAAATACAAAAACAATAGATACTCCGAAAATTGAAAGCATTTTGAAAAATTTATTTCGACGTTTCGACTAAACTATAGTCATCATCACGAAATGAATGAAAATAATGCTTAATTTTGCTCACAAAATTAATTCATCTCTGTTTTCTCATTCGTATGAGAAGATGTCATTTCAAATCCTCCAATTCGGACTGGACTAGATTTCAAGTGTATTTTGATCAAATTGCGCGGACTTCAAATCTAGTCCAGTCTTCATAGTCGGATTTGAAATATTACATCGCAACAATGTTGGATAATCTTGCAACAACACATGTTTTGACTGGTTTGGAAGGACTTTAAGGCATTGTTCGGCGGGATCTCAACATCCCACTTTTTCCTAGGTCTGTTAATATATCAATTCGTAATCCAATGTAAAACGTTTAACTAAAAGTTCGAAGATTACGCATTTCCCTTGAACTTGTGATGTTTCACGTAGTCTTCTTTTAAGGATCGGAACAGCTCTCGTTCGTTGCTCGGCAGATAAACGTGAAGCTTCGTAAGACCATCGTCGTTGCAAATATCAAACAAGAAATGGACACCTTGCACCAGAACATCACGCATCATTCCCGGTATGCCCTGCGTGGACATCACGTGAACACAGTCAGCGAGGAAATATATCGAGTATTTAGAAAGTATGTTCTTATGGGACGTCATTTCTTGATAGAGACGGGACATCTTGTGTGCACAACTCAACAATATCGCTCCTTCTTCTGACTCAATTTTTCCGTTGGATATCCTCGCACCCTGACTGAGAAGACTGTTAAGTAATTCTCGAACACAAGGGAGGAACACGTGCACTGTTCCGTATACATAATCCGGATAATAGAACAACATCCAACTCAAAATGGCAAACCTGGCCATAAAAATACGGGAGAAGAACCCGATATTTGTCACCTCAACATTGAGAGCTAATGCTTGGAACACCAAAGCGAGGTCGTGAGGGTTGAACACTCCACCGCCAATTGTGACAAGTGCGGCGACATTTTCTAGAACTACTATCAAAATCTCGATGTTGATCGCTGCTCTGCCTAACAATGTTATCATGATCTTTCCCGTGATTGAACGAAGCTTTTTCTTGTTCTGCTTTACCACTTTCATTGCAACCAATTCTTTGAAGACGGATAGGCCAGTCAGAAGAGTTACCAACGCATCTTCACCTGCATCACTCTCTTCTACGCTCCATTCAAGGACCCCTTCCAGCACCGTGATACAATTCCTTCCCCCATCTTCTTCAAGCAAGCCTGCAACCAATCCAATTACAGCCTTTTGAAGTTTTCTTGATTCCTCAATACTTTCAGTATTGTTCTCATTTTCCTCTTTTTCAACCGGAAATCCAATTTTTCTAAGAATTCCCAAACACTTTTTGAGAATTTGGGTACGCAACTCGTCAGGTATGGAATTGCAATGATCTTGACCACCCATGAACACATCCGTTAAGACAGTAATGAGAGTCGCAGTTTCATTGCTGAAATCCAGTTCACTGACTGAATTAGTCACGTCTTCCATCTTTTTCGAAGTCTTGAACACTAACATAGAAACAATCTCATTCCATTCTGCAAAGGCATTTTTTAACTCCTCATTCTTCGATAACTCTGACTCAGGGATCAGTCCCATCGCACGTGTTAGGATTGCACTAAGTCTCATAACATTATTTTCCAGCTCGACATAGCTTTCCTCTTGTTGGTGAGAGACAGCATTCTCTTCTAGAGTGTCTTTGGTAAAACTTGTCAGACTAACTGCAGTTTTGGAAATTATAGACCATCCTGCCCTCAGTGAAGAGGTCTTTTTTCCTTTCTGATCCAAAAATTCTATGCAAGCGGAGACTATGATAACAAGTACTTCAACACATCGCACAATTTCTGGGTTTGTGTTCTTGGCTGAATTTGTCAGTGAAGTAACTAGTTCCTCACTGAAATCAACAACAGCTGCTAGGCTTGCCTTGCTGTGCGATTTCATACCGAGGATCACTGCAAGCCTGAGCAATTCCTTAGAAGTATTCATGAATTTGCTTTGGAGGTTGCTTGGTGAAGTTTTGGCAGAATTCCGTTTGGGAATTGTGTGATAAAGCCAATGCAGTAGGGATGCCATATCAATCACTTGCCATGCTGAGAATTCCCGTTGTTGAAGCAAACTTTGGATTAGGGTTGAAACAATTTCCCGGCAAGATAACTGTGCAGCCAAGCGTTGAGCAGGACCAGTCTTTTCATCCAGACCAGCTTTCCCTATCAGAACATCGCAGGCCAGAGAACCAAGAATACAACGAACTTTATTACTTGGTGTAAATTTATAACATGGTAAACGTTGCAACACTTTCACAAGATGGACCACCGTGCTCAGATCCCCAATGCGTTTCCTCTTCGACTGTTTTCTTGCTCTCTTTTGAGGCTCATTCATAACCTTGGCAATCGCTTGTGCCAGTGAAATGGCTATATTCGTGTCTATCTTCCCAGACTGTAAATTAGCTTCATCAGGTTCATGTGTCCCGTCTTGACCTTGTCCCGTCTTGACCTCCCAAGTAAAAACGCCTGTCAACCTATCATCATCCAGTTGGCCCACGCATTCACCCAGCAATTTCCAAAACTGCTTCACAACAGCTGCTTGTAATGATGACAAAGAAAGCAGTTCACCATCCTTCAGAATGTTTTCTGAAACTTGATGTAGGTTTACCAAATTGTCTGTTGTAATTTGGTCGTCTTGAAGGACAAGCGTACCAACCATGAACTCAGCAAACTTTTGTAGCTGATTTCCACTGCAATATGGGATCAGCAAAGCTGCGTACTGGGATACTAGACTCCAATGGGCAACAGGATAGTTCACATTGTTTACACAACTTGGATTAAAGTTCCAAGAAACAAAGGAAAGTTCTGGTATTGTTTGAGGATCTTGGAAGCTGTAGAGACAGTTAATCAAGTGATCAAATTCGTTCTGATCAAAGTCTTGTTTTAGGAGCAAACATCGTACTCTGTGGACAGCAAGTAGATCCATGCAGAACCTCAGGCGTCGGTTTTTCTTCAAGATAGGCAAACCACTCCAAGTCTCATCTGGAATGTAAGCTTCTTCTTTGGAATCCCAGAGCAGTTTAACATAATGATCATCTGATGTAGGAATAACATTGTGTTGGTGTAGAAACAGGATTAAACTATTCAACCCATGAATAAGAAACAAGGTAGCGAAACCAACTGTTTTTTGTGATTTTTTTTTCAATCTTGGAAAGGCTTTAACAATTGGTGTGATTATAGTATCTTTGATATTTTGAACAAGTTTCTCCAGGCTGGTTGCTTTCTTTTGGTC